CAATACTTATACCATAAAAAAATGTGTGACAATGACTTTTTTAAACTTCATGTCAAAATGCCAATTTTTTGATAGGTTAATATGAGGGTAAAATTTTACTCTATCACATGGCTTATATTCTATTACCCTTCACAGAGACGCTTGATCAGTTGTGCGCTTCTTTTAATATGGATGGTTGTTATACATGTTATATACAAGACATCATATAGTGTATTACTTTCCATTAAAAATTTAAAAGACAATAATAATCGAACATTCAGGATAATAATTTAATAAATAATACATATCTGAGAGGGTGATAGAGCAGATTGTTACTCCTCTAAGAACATTGTCAACTGAGGCGAATGTTTTCTCAAGGTAACAAACTGCTCTATCACCCTCTAAGCTATGTGTTATTTATATAATACCGATTTGAACTTTCAAGGCTAAATGTAATGTTGTTTATGCATAGGACCATTGCCAAGTTCCTGTTTGCTAGTTCTGATGAGGTCCAAAAAATTTGAAAAAGGAACTAAAAAGTTTACTTTTGTGAAATCTTTTAATTTTTTATTTTATTTTTACGGAAAATACCGTCTCTTCATACCAATCAAAATGTCCTTATACTTATTTTGTAGTCAATGCATTAATTATAAATATTACCACCAAAATTAACATTTGAAAGCATTTTTTTACAAACTTCTGAAAGAATAATGGTCCAAGGACACAGTTATCGTCCTTTGGTTTTCGTTGTCTACGAATATAGTCCCTAGTGTGAACAGTGTATAACTTGCATTTTTTTTTTTATACACTTTCCCAATTTATTTCTTGATATTTTATGCATGAAATATTAAGTAAGGGGATGAAATTACATGTTAAAAAAACTTGGGTGCGGAATCTTTATGTTAAGTAATGATTTGGTCCAGTTAAAAAAGGTCAAAAATTAGAATGTCTGAAGCTGTTAAACTGAATTGTAGCCCCCCTTAACACAGAATTATCAATATTTTGAGTTAGAGCTGGTAGAAGTTTCTATAATTTTGATATTATTTGTATCAATAGTAGTACACTACACTGTAAAAATCTTTTTGAGATAGAGCAGGTGCGATTTTTTTAATTTGAATTTATTCTCTAAAAGAAATGCACTACGAAATAACTGTGTTCTCGGGCCTAAGAGATAATTCCGTAAATGTAGATTCTGTACTTTGGCAACTTTCCTGAATGGTTTCAATTTGTCAAACTCAATAAAAGTAAAGGATTTACATCTTTGTTTGACAGAAATTCTGTTAAAATGTCCCTTTTTGGCATTATACGGCTAAATAAGCATTTTAAAGCAGTTTCCATTTTATGCCTAAGAGCCATGCTGACTTTCTATCTGACAGCATTTTATGTTCCTGATATTTGTGTTTCTATGCTAAAATCAAATTTAATTAACCATTTGTGAACTCTGAATCTAGAGAAAAGTAGATTATCACAGAAAAAATGTGCATAATATTTGTATTTATGTCCCTGGTTAAACGGCCTGTTTGATGTATGTGAAATGTGAAGAGCTTTGTACATATAATCTGTAGTCCATCACAAATATTTCACTAAATCTGTAAAAAAAACACTTTACAATGATCAGTACACCCTATTCATTTCATATGCTACCATAATTTTCTTCTTTAGGATAGTAAGTGGTTCAAATATATGCCAGTTGAGACTAAAACTACATGCAAGTTTTCCATTGAAAAGTGAAAAACTGGTCATCAGACCATACTGTCTGCAAAAAATAGTTGAATTCAAGAGTCCTTTTGCAATTAGACTTCTTGTATCATGACATCTTAGCATAGAAATGAGCAAAAAGTAACAAATTTCCATTTCTTATAGCCTCTGTGTGCATTTTTATATGTAAATATGGGCTACGGCCTAAATCGACTCTATATAATTCTCAGTCTTACATGGCCTAAGACCATTTTATACTCATGTGGTATGCTTTTTGTAACTTTTCTTTACATTTAAAGTACATTTAATATATATGGAAGAATAATGTATGGTTCAAAAACTTCAAAAACTTCAAATTGGTTGAAAAAAATGCATGTTTATGTAAGGCTTCCCTTAATTCGAAAATCTCTATTTTCAGGCACAGGCTCACATAAATTTGACTTTTGAATAACTGTAATAAATCTGATAAATCAAATGAGTGTTCCGTTGCTATTAATACTTATTACATTATATTCAAGAGTATTTAAAAAGCAAATTTTTGCAATATTTGAATTTTTTAGGCCAAAATCTTGACAGTTGAAAATATTTGATTTAAACGTCAAAAATAAACATCCAAATTTCAATACTAAAATGGCCCTAGTTTCTATAATATATATCCTATGGCTATGAAACTTGGCCAACTATCTTATAATTTCCTAAGCTTAGGTCATGCAAAGTTTTATTAAAATTGGTCAAGTCTTTCTATCCTATTAGGTCCAAGGACACAGTTATCGTCCTTTGGTTTTCGTTGTCTACGAATATAGTCCCTAGTGTGAACAGTGTATAACTTGCATTTTTTTTTTATACACTTTCCCAATTTATTTCTTGATATTTTATGCATGAAATATTAAGTAAGGGGATGAAATTACATGTTAAAAAAACTTGGGTGCGGAATCTTTATGTTAAGTAGTGATTTGGTCCAGTTAAAAAAGGTCAAAAATTAGAATGTCTGAAGCTGTCAAACTGAATTGTAGCCCCCCTTAACACAGAATTGTCAATATTTTGAGTTAGAGCTGGTAGAAGTTTCTATAATTTTGATATTATTTGTATCAATAGTAGTACACTACACTGTAAAAATCTTTTTGAGATAGAGCAGGTGCGATTTTTTTAATTTGAATTTATTCTCTAAAAGAAATGCACTACGAAATAACTGTGTTCTCGGGCCTAATCAGTGACTGTGAAAATTAGTCTATCAAACGTTAAGTCGAGGATTTTATGTACTGCCAGTACATTTGATATCTTATAGATAGATAGATATTTTTATTCTTAAGTACAACTTGGTACATGTGCATGAAATACAATATATAATAATTTTAAACATATGTATAAAGTCATTAAACATGAATATTTATACCAACCAGCCTTTAGAGGCTTATGATGCACTGTTTTTTATTCATAACATACCATTCCTAGAGCATTGTTGTATGTCATATCATTGTTACACAAAATTAAAACTCTGTTTTTTTATGACAAATGTACAATAAAGCATCGTCTGTGCTGTGATCCAGCCAAATTTGGAGCAAGTCAGACATTTTTTCGGATCTCATTTTTTTGATATTTTTTCAGTTATTCTTACTATAATTTTTTTATTATATTGCCCAAAGATGGAGAATTTTCAATATTGATGCAATTTCTTTTGATATTCCAATTTTTGAAGGTACACTGATTTTTTTTTACATCCTCTTTTTTAATAATAAATTTTCAATTTTACAATTTTGAGAAGATTTTAAAAGGAAAGTTTAGTATATTTTTTGAAGTTTTACTTAATTATTTCCAGAAAGAGGCTTTGAAAATGCACTTTTCCAACAACAACACAAATTGGTGTTCATTCTTCATTGAGAAAAAATACATTTCCTGAATTCAAATATACATGTACAAATACCTTTTACTGTTAAATAGCAATATAATGAGGAATACATAAATACATTTTATTGCAATCCTGGTTGTTATTTATTTCTCTATAACACACACCTTCGTTTGCAAATAGTCTGATATCCCAGGTCACATGATCTGCTATGTCGATAATATGGACGAGGAACAGGATTGGCCTAAGAACTGTTCCTTTGTATATATTTCGTATCAATAGCTTAAATTTGATATACAAATGTATTAACTTTTCATTTTAATTTATAAATAGTAATACATGTTTACCCAGGTTAGGGGAGAGTTGAGTGCTCACAAACATGTTTAACCCCGCCACATTCTTTATGTCCAAAGTCAGGAGCCTGTAGTTCAGTGGTTGTTGTTGGTTCATGTCTGTCATATTTGTTTTTCTTTAATTGTTTTGCTATAAATAAGGCTGTTAGTTTTCTCAAATATATTGTTTCATATTTTTCATGTCAGGGCCTTTTATAGCTGACTATATGGTATGGATTTTTGTCATTGTTGAAGGCTGTACAGTTGCCTATAATTGCTTACATCCACTTTATTTGAAATTTGGGTGATAGATGTCTCATTGGTAATCATACCTCATCTTCTTATTTTTAATTAATATAAATTTTAATTTACAGATGAACTATATACATGTATGGAAGTCTATGTCCAAAACTTAGTAGCTGTTTGACCTCTCTTAATTTAAGGACAAATAACATGTCGAAAGTTGGCAGTAGATAATTAAAATGGTGTAAAAACTTTCTGCAAGTCATTAAACACATTATTAGATTCATTATATGTCTCCAACTCAGAATTCTGGACCATCTTAAAATCTGGAGTGATCACATAGAAATAGCATGGCTGGTTCAAAAACGATGAAATGAGGATTTTTATTTTCAAAATTGGACAAAAGAAATGTATGTTGTGCTGCTTGTAAATATTGAATTTTAACTCTTTTTTTTCAGACAATATCACATTAACTTACTTTGCCTTTATAAACTGATTATTTTCTATGGTGCTTTAAATAGAGATGATCCATGCCTTATTCCTAATAACTGGTCCTAATTCTTATAGGCATTTCTTTATTTATAAGTATAAAAATAAGGAGATGTCTTGATTGCCAATGAGACAACTATCCACCAAAGTCAAATGAAGTGGATGTAAGCAATTTTAGGCAACCATGTTCATTAAAAGCAAAGAACCAATTAGCCTTTTTTTCTAATTTTGGAGAAATAGCAATGTATTATAAAAAAAAACCATCTTAACAAAACAATCACACAGGACAAGAAGGTAATATATCGTCAATCAAAATTTAAATTCTTTAAACTATGAATAAAAATAAGAGGAAATGTGGGGTATATCAATGAGATAGCAACCCAATGATGTAAAAAAAAAAACATCTTTTAACATACTTTGCCTCTGCCTCCTTGGCTTGTTTTGATGATAAATCTTCCTCAACACTGTAATCAAGTATAGACTTCACACCAAACTGTTGATTCCGTGAAACAAGAGGCCTTATAGCAATCTGATCTTCTCCTGCCACAAAATGGCCATAAAATGTTCCTTTCATTAATGTTGTAAATAAAGTCTTTCCTAACAACCTCCGACTCCATTTCAAAATCTGTAATTTAAAGTACATTATGGATTAAGTTTCCAATTGATATACATGTAGACTTGTTCAAATAATACAATTCAGATGGTTATTTCAGTCTACATGTACATGTAAACTAAGCAAAAGTTTCAAAATCAATAGACCATGACTGAGAGGGCAGGGCCAAATAATCTCCATGGAAATGAGATGTGCCAATGCTAATACAACTGCATACCAAATATCATTGACCTACCACTAGTGGTTCACCATAAACTAGACCTAATCACAAACTAATACATTGTTGATGCCGCCGTCGACGCCGGAAACAGCATACCTATGTCTTGCTTTTTGACTCTGTCAAGGCGAGACAAAAATGATGTCAAGCTTCACATGATTAACTGCAGTTTTTATAGTTATTTACAAAAGTGAAAAACTTAAATTTACCAAATAATAAATTCTAAAATTGAGTAAAATGAATTTGAAATAGGACTAAACCAGTCAGCATACTTTGTCAAATCTGTTTTTTGCATCTTGGCTGTATTAGTTGAATTGGTTATAAATATTTACATACTTTAACATTTTCATATGAAATATAATATAGATAAAATTCTCAACTATAACGTGATTGAAAAAAAAAACATTCTCTTGGTCTGCATGTGCATTCATCATATGGTCATTTTCCTGGTTGACCAATTTTAGGTTACATGAAAAACATGGATGAAAGAACTAGAGGCTCTAAAGAGCCCGTGTCGCTCACCTTGGTCTATGTGCATATTAAACAAAGGACACAGATGGATTCATGACAAAATTGTGTTTCGGTGATGGTGATGTGTTTGTAGATCTTACTTTACTGAGCATTCTTGCTGCTTACAATTATCTCTATCTATAATGAACTTGGCCCAGTAGTTACAGTGGAAAATATTTTGTAAAAATTTACAAAAATTTACAAAATTTATGAAAATTGTAAAAAATTGACTATAAAGGGCAATAACTCCTTAAGGGGTCAATTGACAATTTTGGTCATGTTGCCTTATTTGTAGATCTTACTTTGCTGTACATTATTGCTGTTTACAGTTTATCTCTATCTATAATAATATTCAAGATAAAAACCAAAAGCTGCAAAATTTTCTTAAAATTACCAATTCAGGGGCAGCAACCCAACAACATGTTGCCTGATTGGTCTGAAAATTTCAGGGCAGATAGATCTTGACCTAATGAACAATTTTATCCTGTCAGATTTGTTCTAAATGCTTTGGTTTCAGAGATATGAGCCAAAAACTGCATTTTACCCTATGTACTATTTTTTAGCCATGTCGGCCATCTTTGTTCGTGGGCGGGGTCATCGGACACATTTTTTAAACTATATACCCTAATGATGATTGTGGACAAGTTTGGTTAAATTTGTCTTAGTAGTTTCAGAGGAGAAGATTTTTGTAAAAGATTACAAAAATTTACGAAAAATTGTTAAAAATTAACTATAAAGGGCAATAACTCCTTAAGGGGTCAACTGACCATTTTGGTCACGTTGACTTATTTGTAGATCTTACTTTGCTGAACATTATTGCTGTTTACAGTTTATCTCTATCTATAATAATATTCAAGATAATAACCAAAAACGGCAAAATTTCCTTAAAATTACCAATTCAGGGGCAGCAACCCAAAAACGGGTTGTCAGATTCATCTGAAAATTTCAGGGCAGATAGATCTTGACCTGAAAAACAATTTTACCCCCATGTCAGATTTGCTCTAAATGCTTTGGTTTCAGAGATATAAGCCAAAATCTACATTTTACACCTATGTTCTATTTTTAGCCATGGTGGCCATCTTGGTTGGTTGGCCGGGTCACCGGACACATTTTTTAAACTAGATATCCCAATGATGATTGTGGCCAAGTTGGTCAAATTTGGCCCAGTAGTTTCAGAGGAGAAGATTTTTGTAAAAGTTTACGGACGACAGACGCCAAGTGATGAGAAAAGCTCACTTTGCCCTTTGGGCCAGGTGAGCTAAAAAGTGCAAGGTGTTGATATTTCACTGGGAAAATTAATTTAGCCTTGACAGTTTATTCATAACTGTCTTTCATGTTTGGTGTCTTTAAAAAGTTCTACTTATTGTGTTAACTGAGGGGCCTGATGGGTTATTTTCGTTCTTCGTGATCGGCGCATTTTTGCTATCGTGATCCGTTTTTCTTCAGATTTATACTCTTTTTATATTTTCGTGATCCGTGATCATGGAAATTTATTTTCTGTGAATCGTGATTGACAAAAAAATCAACTCGTGAATCGTGATGAGACCCCCACCTCAGGCCCCTCTTAACTCACTTTGCTCCTTTACTATAAGCAAAATATTTGTGAAAATGCATTATGTGTGACCAATTTATGGTAACACTTGGATAATGTTATTCAACTTTATCATATGTTTTGAAGTTTTGATTAAATATGACTTCTTTTAAGATGTTAATGTGCAATAATAAAATGTATGGCAGTTTGCAAGTCCAAATAGTTATGACGTCTTCATGGTCTTGAAAGACTATTTTCATTGTTTTCTGTGATGCCTTCCTACTATGAAGGCCCTACATTGAAGGTGTCACACAAACATCATAATTATTTGGACTAGGTACATTGTAGTTATATTTTGTCTGTACCAAGTCAGGACTATGACAGAGGTTTTTCACTGTTCTGTTGGTTGATTTCATTTTATTTTGAGTTTTTATGGACTTCTCCATTTTGAATTTACCATTAAGTTCAGTATTTTTGTTATTTTTTTTTTGCATGTTCATTGTTGAAGGTCCACTGAGGGTCACGACTTTTCTCCTTCACGTTACTATACATATAGTAACGTGCTTGTATACATATATAATGAATTCAGTGTTCTTACCTCGATATTATTTTTTACCAAGAATTCAACTGAACACAGATTGAATACAAATAGTGCTCGAACAAGTTCTGAAGTCTTTTTACTACGAAAAGCTTCTTCGGCATTACCAAACGTCAGATCAAGTTTGTTCTGCTTTTCCTCGTCCTGGGTGAGCTTGGATAAACTTTCGGCATCCTTGATTTCAGCTCCTAAGGTAGATTTATAGAATGTTTGTAAAGAATATAATGGATGCTTTCTCGAATGGCTGATCAAAAGTAAATTTCTCTTCCGGATAAGTTTGAAAACATTTGCCATGTTATATAATTATCACACCGTAGTATTATGTTGTTGTGCTGAATGAGTCCTGGGTCAAGGTCAACTTAGAAAGTGGGCAAATGTTTAGATTATCGATGACAATAATTACAATAAAATTTACTTATTATTTTTTTAATAACGCATCCTATTTGTATTTGTCTATGTGTGTGCTTGTGTTGAGAAATATTTTGTTGCTTTTCTGTCTAATAACTTGACGTCGAAACATAAAAGGCATTTTTCATTCTTTATGGAGGTGTGTCTCAAACAGCCAATCAAAAGTGGTAAAATATGTTTTCTCAAGCGGCATCTATTCGAACTTAAACTGCTTTCATACAGATTCGGCCCAAGTCGATCCGTCACAAGTCGTTTCGTACCAAAGTGATCCGGCCCCAATTTATAAAATAATATTTACAAGGAATACACTTGACGTATATTTGAATTGAAGTTCATAAATGAATTTTATGAATAATAGCAAAGGTGGACTATAAAAAAAAGTTTACATCGAAATATTTCAACATTGAACTATTTTACATTTAAAAATAAAATCATACAGTCATCACAATGATCACGTGTTAATACAAGTACGGAGTAGGGATGATTTTGTAGCGATGATTCAGAAGCGGATTAAGGGGGGGGCCCTTTTGTGGGAAAAATTTGGTTGATTATAAAGGGAATCACTGAAGCATGACTGGAGCGGGTCCCCTCTTAGGCAGTCAGTGGACCCCCACTTATGAAAATTTCTGGATCCGCCACAGTGACTGTGATTGTACAGTATATAACAATTATGTTTAATATGCGCACATCAGATGTTGAATGGTGGAGGGAACAACAGCACTGTATATATATAGAGAGCACTTGAGCTGAGCATGTAAATATGGTTATTGTTATGCGTTTACTTTTCTACATTGGCTAGAGGTATAGGGGGAGGGTTGAGATCTCATAAACATGTTTAACCCCGCCGCATTTTTGCGCCTGTCCCAAGTCAGGAGCCTCTAGCCTTTGTCAGTCTTGTATTATTTTTAATTTTAGTTTCTTGTGTACAATTTGGAGTTAAGTTTAGTATGGCGTTCATTATCACTGAACTAGTATATATATTTGTTTAGGGGCCAGTTGAAGGACGCCTCCGGGTGCGGGAATTTCTCGCTGCATTGAAGACCTGTTGGTGACCTTCTGCTGTTGTCTGTTCTATGGTCGGGTTGTTGTCTCTTTGACACATTCCCCATTTCAATTCTCAATTTTATTAGATGCCCAATGGTGGAAGGAGATGCAGCACTGTATATAAAGAGAGCACCTGTTCTACATATGAAAATATGGTTCCTCTACAAAGGGGGTTTAAAGATAAGTTAGATTAGAGTAGGTTGATTATCATTTTATCAAAAATTATCAAGAATATCGAGTAAGCATAATATTATACTAAAACATATATTACAGAAGTACATTAATCAATAATTTTCATATGACTTTGACATGTTTGATCTTTTAAAAATATTTTAACTGGTGTATGAGTGAATGATTCTTTATTGCATTAGCAACAACATTTGCTTTAGCAAAATAACAAGGTATATATACATTAATGACAGAATACAAAGAAAAATTAAATAATGCAGAGATAACTTATTATAACACATATATTTGAACAACATATTTTAAACTAATAATTTAATTTTGGATGTAACACGTCTTCTGATTGGCTGAAAGTTTTTGTCTATCAGCTCATAGAAATAATTTTGTCATGTGACCGTGCCGTCCTCAATGTTTTTTTTACAATTAAATTTTAGGGAATGACTGAAAAAATGTGGTGCACACTATTAAATAACACGCTACGCGGGTTATTCAGTGTCCACCACATTTTTGATGTTATTTCTTTATAGATAGAAAAAATATTACAGTCATTTCTTAAATAATTTGAATTCCATGCCGCCTTTAAATAATTACATAGTTACTTGTTGAGCTTTTTGACCCATCTTGTAACAAAATGTTTAGCTTTCGTGTATTTCATGTATTTGGCCATGAACAATAATATTTTGATAATAAGTTGCATCTTAGAGTTCTAAATACAGGACAAATCAACCGTGACAAAATGATATTCATCTTCAATATTGTTCATTTTACAACATCTAAAAAAAAAAGGATTGTTTCTAGGAATATTGTCACAGCGACCTATTTCTAAGTTTAATTTTAAATTCCAAGATGTAATTTGGTAAGTATATTGGTATACAAATCATATTGCAAATAATTCTCCATACAAAAATCTAATTTAAAACATCAAAGAATGAAAGCATTTATATTAGCATACCAGCTTTGGTAATATTGATCGTTGATACGAGATTCACTAAAGTCAAACTATTGAGTTATGTTATCTTGGTTAATCCATATATAATTCAAACCGAAACTAAACAAAAGGTCTCGTACATTGGATGCCCATTGTTTTGCTATAAGAAGCATCAATAAATAAAATTTAATATACATCGGAAAACATTTTTGGTTGATAATGAATTAAATGCAACCAATAATTCTATATTTTCTTAAAATACACACCCGAGCGTGCCCGAGCTCACCACAGGTACAGTTTATCCAAGTTGAGTACAGAAGAAGTAGAAGAAGAAGATGTTTTATTTGCATTAAATGGGCTCACAAAGAGCATAGTACAATATAAGACATTATTGAAACAGAAACAAAACACAATAATCAAGTAATCATACAAATAAAAGAAAAACAGTTTGAACATGAATGAACTACACACACAAGTGTAAAACATCCTTATCGGGGACACCCCAACATAAAAAAGAGCTTTAAATAAATTGGCAATTTATTGGATATCATGTAACTTAACTGCAAAAGCCACCAATTGAAGGTGGGAAATAGATGCACATGGTATAAATGTATGTAAATAGACAATTTGGTTAAAATATTATGAGCAGATGCACAAACCTGGCATGTCATCCTTCGGCTTATAAGGATCCACCCACCCACGAGGAATAAATTTGCACATGGATGTCACATATCTTAGACTGTGTGCACATATATGTCTTCTTTACAATAAACTGGGACCCGATGGCATAAAGTTTAGTTACCCAAAGCCAAGTTCAACGAGGGTCTGGATGGGGTTAACAGAGTAAAGAATAATAAACCAATATTATACAGAAAATGGACCAAAATATCAAAGAATAGAGAAAAAAAGGCACAAAAAAAAAAGAATAGAGAATAATGGGTGCTAAAATATAAAAAATGGAGAATAATAGGCAAAAGGAATAGAGAAAACTTGCTTAAAAAATGAAATATTCAAGAATACAGAATTGAAAGAAAGACCCCATCCAGACAAATCGGACACAAGTGAATCAATCTTATGTAGTCCGCAGTTTCGTAATACGATCTAATATAATACTTTTCAAAAAGCGCTTAAATATACACTTAACTGAAGAACTCTGACAACAAAAGATGTTTTTACCAGTTATTTAAATGTTTTAATCTCAAATTATGGATGTAATTGTTATGTCAAATGTTTATGCTCGTTGGGGCTCTTAAGATGGAAAAAAATATTCTTCTTCGGAGATGCAAGTATTAATTTGCAATTCTGTTATCATGTAAACGAAATTCTAACACTTGGCAGTTCCAAAAAATAGTAACTTTGTCTGCTCTATGGTCGGGTTGTTGTCTCTTTGACACATACCCCGTTTCCATTCTCAATTTTACTTGTACATTTCTTCAACTCTTCCTTTTCTTTAGCCACCGTCTTCAGCACTGTGAAGTTTATGTCGACATTTGCACTACGCATGGCTTGCGGAACTGTATCAACACGGTAAATTAAAATTTTAATTAAATTATAAACCCAAATTAATTTTCACATTTTTACATGGTACGATACAATATACATTAATCATAGTACTGACGTACTATTTACTCGGATGATCCAAGATCTTATGGCTTACAAATAAATCATACAGATTTTCGTCTCTTTGTTGACTACTAGAAGAAAAAAGCATATGATTTCACAAGTCGAGTGTGAAACATTTCAGTAACATTTAAGACCATAACATACAAGTTTTTAACATTAAATCAATTGTCTAGGTTCTGTTGGCACAGAGGGTCCAAAAGAATAACTGAAAAAGTTATATGTGTTTTGCCCTGTCATAAGACTGGATAATACATTCAACGAACGTCCCTTTATAGCTGACTTGTTACTGTATCTTTATGAATCATTTTATGGCCAAACTCAGTAAAGATCCGTCTAAATTATATTTATTTGATAAATTTTGAAAACCTTACCGTTACCTTGATGATATTTTTGCTTTTAATATTTAAGAATATCCTAATTTTACTGCTGAAATTTAACTACCGGAACTTACTTTAAATAAATCTAATACAGACAGCAATAATTGTCTATTTCTAGATTTCAATATTTCAGTTTCACACGGGAAACTCTTTACAAAAATTAACGAAAAAAAAAAAGATTTTTCGTTCCCGATTGCTAATTTTCCCTTTTTTGGAGGGCATATTCATTTAAACCCCTTCTTACGGTGTGTATATATCACAACTTGTTCGCTTTGCTCGTGTCTGTTGTCGCGTTTTGGGTTACAATGTTATAACTGATAAATTAGTAAGTCGGGAATTTCGTTACCACTAATTAATTAAAACCTTTACCAAATTCTTTCAATGATACAAAGATTTGGTACCTGTTGAGTTCTTATCAAAAGTGGGATTTTACATCCTAATGTTTACGGGATGTTGTTTATAATACCCGGCCCAGGTAAGGGGGAGGGATGTCGCCTTCAAACATGTTTAATCCCGCCACATTCTTTATGTGCCTGTCCCAAGTCAGGAGCCTGTAGTCCAGTGCATGGTTGTCGTTGGTTCATGTCTGTCATATTTGTTTTTTGCGTAAATTGTTTTGTTATAAATTAGGCCGTTAGTTTTCTCAATTGAATTGTTTCATATATTTTCATGTCCGGGCCTTTTAAAAAGAAGGCCTTTATACATTAAGATATGGTTTTAGTTCAGTTGAATGTAATGTTAAAAAAGAATGGAGAAATAAAACAATAGTTCCTTTGAAATGGAGAACGTCGTATTTGCCTCAATGGAATGTCTCGACTGCATCTGAATATTTGGCCAAACGATTATCAACTAATTTTAATGACTGTTGAAAAGACCATCTTCTTATATCTATTTGCCTACATCATGTCTTTTTGAACTACCTACATGTGCAGCTTTTTCAAGTATCGTT